AGTTGTGGGCCGTTGTGGTTGAGTTGATCAATCATGTCCAAATAATGCTGGGCATGATTGGCACCAGTTAGTACTTCACCGATGAACTTCTAAAACCCAAACCAACCTGAACGATTTCCTCGGCACTGAGCTGCTGGCTGACCATAGCGTCTTGCAGCTTGTCGATGGTCGTTTCAGTGTAGTTGAACGTGTCAAACCCACACGACACTGCGGCTTGGACCGCTGATGCTAGTGCAAAGGGGAGAACGATCCGCATGGTTGAATTGCCGGCGAAATTGAAAATGATGACAATAATGTGGTAACCCTGGCAAGAGCAGTATTAACAGCAGGATTTGGGAAGAGGCAGGAGTGTACAGCGCCGCAAGATGTGTTCATGACAATCGAACGCTTGGCTTGTGCTTACAGCACAAACCATCCAGACTCCATTTTCGGCTTACAGCCAAAAATGGAGTCTCAAAAACGTAGAATGGCAGCTGTCAGAGGGGTGATTTGTGGGTTGTAACACATATGTCATTCTACGGAATTCGTAGGCCAGAACTTGACTTTTGTATGCAATCGTAGGCGCACACCCCTACTATTTCACCATTTCGAAATCCTCAACCTCAATTTGTTTCCAAGTTATATACGAATTTGTAGCAAACATAAAATTTCGCAATTCATTTGTGAATTGACGAAATTGTAGAGAGCTAGCTGGTCCTACGATTTTCATATCCAATGAGATCTCAAGAAAATCACAAATGGCCGACTCCAATTGACCAATCCTCCTCTGGTACAGTAATGCCATTGATAGCACTAGGTCTGTATCGTTAGCAGTACGCAAGTTAGGCTGCGTGCAAATATTCCTCGAATTTCGAAGTATGCTGACCAATTACATCGCGTGAATATGGACAACTTCGAGTGATAGTGTGGCTTAAAATACGTCGTTCACTGTACTGTACCCGTTACTTTTACCCTTTGCAAGAGGGTAAAAAGGTAATTTATCAAGCCTACTTGAGCTCCCTTCATTTGAGCATACTTCATGATAGTGGTATTTTTGGAATCCTAGATAACCTCGTTTTTTCACGACCTCTTTTTCTACTTTGGGTATATTAGGGGCTGGTCTGTGAAAAACCATCCACGCTTTAAGGCAGGGATGTTATCCGAACTATTTTCGAGGATTCTGAAAATATATCAAAAATATTTCTTAATTTCTATCGAAAACGTGCAAAAGCAGGAACGGACACTCAAAAGCAGGGATGAATCATCCCTGCTTCAACTCAGGCGTCCCTGCTTTTGACGTTGTGTTATCCGGAAAAATTCACGTTTTAGCCAATCAGGAGTCGTATTTGCGTGGATACTTCAAAAAGCGAACATTCCCGTCCACGCTTAATAGTGAGTCTCGTAAAAAATTGGTCCATATTACTGTGCTATTAATACATATTAATAGTATTGTGAATGAATTATACTCCAGAGTATTATTTATATTAAGTCTTGATTTAAATAACCAATCAAAGCGGAGATTACTGGCACGGTATTAATATGGAGAATTTGCAATCGTCGGCTAATCAATAACGTTAGACAAATCACACAACGTTGAAAACAACTATTGCAGTCCAGAGTGGTACAGTATGACCAGGCATTCTGGTTGGCAACGTCGTCTTCATATCATGTTTCTGCAATTTCAAGGCAGGAGTACTCCTGCCACGGGAACAGCATGAAGAATAATCAATCGCCATACGTCTTGGAAGAACTGTCCATCCATATCAACAAGCCGCCATGAACAAAGCAGTGAAACGCATGATATGATGATGGACGACTTAATTGTCTGGTAAAAACTGGGGTGCCACACGCGCTTTCGTGGCTTGTTCAAACACGTAGCCATATTGCAGGAGTTTTTCTTCGTGGTACTTGGGCGTGACAAAGGACACGCCGAACGGCACCGAGTGGTTGTACCCCAAGGGTATAGAGAGGATGGGCCACCCCGCAATCGAAGGGTATCCGGGGGAGTTGCGTCCCTGAGACCACGTAAGGGTGAGCGCGAAGATCACCTCAGCTTATGTGTCCTTGATGTACTTTTCAATACCGTTGGTCACGGCCAAGTCTTGGCATACGGCCAGCGCATCCAGGTAGACGCTGCTGCTTTGGTTTGGGCCGTTGAGCGACAGCAACAGCAACGACTACAAGTTGGTTCGAATGAAAAGTCGCCGTGATGCGAAGACAAGAGAGGTCTTACTTGATCGAGCACGTTGAGCTCCGTGTTGGGGTGCGCAGCGTTGTAATCGGTAATGTCCTGGAGGGTTTTCATAGGCGTCACGCCCTCTTTCCACGTCAACGTGCTTAAGTACGCTTCGACATCGACTTTGAATTCAGTCGTGAGCGCGACAAACTATTATACCACCACCACACAATATGAGCACACTACACCTGCACAAACAATCCAAAACATAATATCAACGACTCGTACTTCGCATTTGGACTCCGAGATGGCGGCGGCATTGGGATACGGCGCTGTTTTTTGTCACTCCCGTGAAGGATAGACAGGTACTACTCCCGTGAAGGATACACAGGTAGATGGTAAATTCAGAAGTGATTATATGAAGTTAGGTTCGCTTTTTAGCTAGCTAAAGAAATGCGCTCACTAGCTAAATGTAATCTACTTGGCTACGTCCGAATTCATATTAGTAAATAGCGAGATTTCGGGGCGAAATATTTATCCTTATCCTCAAAAAAACCTGCTGAGATGAATAAAGTTGGGCAAACCTCCGGAAACTAGTAAAGGATTCCTCAAAACCACCCAAGTTTGAGGATTCAACGACTTCTCCGTGAACAGTCGCCATTATGAGCGACGATGCTTCAACGACACGCGCCAACACGCGAAACATGCGCCCGCAATCCAGTAAGCGTGTGAAATCAACTGCACGCCGTGCTACAGACCAGGCGCACGAAGACGAGCCAGGCAGCAACGACGTAGTCCTTGCTGACCTCTCTCCCGAAGAACGCACAATGCGCAGCCCACCTACTGCAAACGCAAAGACGTGGTGGTCTGAAGACGATGACCTCCTCCTTCTAATTCAGACAAACATTGAACGTCCGTTCTTAGCGTTAAAGAACAAGATGATGGCGTGGAACGACACCGCAGCCGGCTGCATGCGCATCGATGGGTTTGGCCGCAAGTCGCTAAATGGGAAGAAGGCCTCGCAACGGTTCCAATTGCTCCTCGAGAATCATCGTCAGTTTCAAGCGAAGTCCAAGTTCATGTCTGGGGGGACCCAAAAGGAAACGGAGAAGACAGTCCTGCTGGACGAATTGCTCGCGCTGATGGACGACAACAAGGCTGTCAAGGAAGAGCAGCATGTGGCCGAGGCAGCTGGCAAGGAGAAGAAAGCGAGCGCTACGGCGTTGATTCGGGACGAAGCGATGCAGCGAGCGGCGAAGCGCAAGAGTGTTGACGGGGATGACGATGGATCGTCCACAAGCAAGAAGAAG